CAATTATAACTTTTTACATAACTTAGTGTGGCTCTCACATCGTTTTTTAAATTCAAGGGAAAAACACATTTTTTGTGTGTGAAAAATTTGAAAACACCACATTCCTTAAAATGCCCTTTTCCACAGTTATCAGGTGTTCAAAACTAATTTATTGTGTGAATAAATAAGATCAAGAGGCTGAAAATCATAAGATCCAGTTTCAGATACCAGTTCTAACACCAGCTGATTTATGCCAATTCAGAGAATATACATAAGTTCTTAATGCAAGCCTGTAGTTTTTGAAAATATAAGATAATTGTATTAAAACAGCATCATTCAAACTATAGATTCCAATTTATCAGTAGCTTGTGAAATCAACTTATGTAGCCGGGGTGGTGTGAAAAATGTAACAGTAGAATAAATATCGGTGCATTACTCAAGAAATAGGTACTTATTGTTCCATGAAGCTCTAATTTCAGTTATCAATATAAATGCATCTATATACTGAGATGCAATATAATTAATAATGTTAATCATAGTTTAAAGGTTGAAAGCTTGAAACCTAAATAATTTGGGGCCCCCACTTACACTTCTAAATAATTGTGGTCTGATAAAATTTTTTAAACAATAGATAAACGATGGGATTCAGATAAGATGATTCACATGAACTTTTCTAGCTCATTATTACTCATGCTAGAAAATTAGTCAGAATACTTTTTTTTTGAAATACATAATGCTTGAGAAAATATTCTTTACCCAGATAATAGTATTTCCTGGTAGTCTTCTGAGCAATGACTCAGAGACTAACTGAAAAATGCTGAAAAGGATACCAGAGAATGATAAAAAGATCTCTAGAGCAGCTTTGTTTTATAACTAAAAATTGTGTCATCCACCTTAGAGAGATTTTTCCAGTGTACTTAATTTTAACCCTTTAACGAGATTCTCAATCTGAAAAGGAGATATGCAGATCAATAAATAAAATAACAAAATGTTCCTGCTTTTCTATATAATTTCTTCTGAAAGAGTAATAAATCCTCATTATAAATTAAAAAAAATTGAAACTGAGAATAAAATAAGCCCAGTGAGTTAAATTTTACAAATATATAATTATTGTTTTAAAAATTGTAAAGTTAACATTTAAAAAATTAGAATAAAAAAGTATAGACAGCATTAAAAAGAAAAAAATTCTAAAACCATTAGACAACTTGTAAGAATAAACTTTAATAAATTCATTATGTTGAGGGTAGCAAATCCCTACTTCTCCTTAAGCAATGATTCAAATATTTATGCCCCTGCACTGGCAGGCTCCCACTTTTGCCACGATAAAGCACCTCCAAGATCATGGAGCTATGATCATGGCCAAGATCATGGAGCTATGTTTGTTAGGTTGAATCAAAACAGTATAAACATAAACAAAGAGTGTGTTGGTGGCAACTCAATACTTAGGGATGCTTAGAAAAATGTGTGAAGAGAAGGTAGAGGCTGTAGTGAGGGAATGTGAGAAACGGATGTACGTAACTCTCATCTGAAGGCAGTGCTGAGAGGACCGATCCATAGATGAAGGCCAGGCCTCAGTGTATCTCTCTCTGGTGGACCACAGGCACAAACAGAAAGGCCAGACGCTGACTCTCACGTCCCCATGAGAATTAGGGAGAAACTGCAAGAAGAAAGTGGAGTGGAATTTCAGATTGCCGGGATTGCCATGCTGTCACTAAAGGAAAACAAGAATAAAATAATCTGAACAGTGACAGCCGGATTAGCGGCTATTAGGTCCACTGAGCTGCCGCATTTCAGGACACAGGATTTCTCCCAGGAGTGAGACAAGGCTATACTCCAAGTGTCACCCATAAGACTCAGGAGTGCAGATCATTCTCAGTCAGCCGACCACCTTCTGGGGGCGTTCACAGGGGGCTGAGGTTTTGGTGGGTAGGACCCATGGGCTGTGGGGCATCCTTTCACTCTGTAGTATTTTTCCCACTGCCCTTTCCTTTGTAGAGGAGGCCTGGCCTTAGGGATATACTATTATTCACCCTCTGGGATCTTAAACTGTACCTAGATGCAAGTCACGTGCACAGAAAAAAACACAAGTGCAGACTCTCAAAAGCTGAACAGAAGAGCTTTCTCTCTCCCCTGGGACAGACCATGGCCAAAGATAAACAACACTACAAACAAAGAACTCAGTGAGTAGCTAGGGAAGTACTCAAAATCAGTGTAGAAACAGCCATCTATGATAGTATAAATTAATTTTATAATTATATACTTAGATGGAATATACTTACATGAAATATGGAATGTGACTATATTGAATAATGGGTAAGAGAATAGAGTTTGGAGTCAAACAGATGTAGGTTCCAGTTCTACTTTTTTTTTTTTTACTTATTAACTTGGTAACCCTTATGATATTGCTTAATTATGTAAAAAAAAACTCACAGTATTCCTTCAAGGATTTAATAGAATAATGTATATGAAAATAATTTGTAAGAAGTTTCATTGTAGGGGCTGGCTGAATGGAAACTTCAGCTGCTTTATATATGCCAGAACCTATGATTGCTGACACTAAATAATTAATTTGATTTAATATCATATGTAAAACCAAAGTAAGTAGTACCAGTTCAATGGTGCCGCAGATGTTGCCATTCAGACACAGTCTAAAAATGAATCTGAATTAGCCTTCATGGGGGGGTTAATATGCTGCAATGCATAAAACTATCCTTGTATCACATTTATTCCTAAGTATTTTATTTTTTGGATGCAATTTTAAAAGGGATTGTTTCTTTATTTTCTTTTTCTGATATTTCTTTCTTAGTGTAAAGAAATGCAATTGATTTCTGTATGTTAAGCTTGTAGCCTGCTACCTTGCTGAATTCATTTATGTATTAGCTCTAGTAGTTTTTGACTGAAGACTCTAGGGTTTTCTATATATAATATCATGTAATCCATATGTAGCATCAATTTTAACTCTTCTCTTCAATTTGGATCCATTTTATTTCTTTTTCTTGTCTGATTGCTATGGCTAGGACTTCCAATACTATACTGAATAGAAGTGGTGAGAGTGGGCATCCTTGTCTTGTTCCAGATGTTAGCAGGAAGGCTTTCAACTTTTCACCCCTGAGTGTTATGCTGACTGTAGGTTTGCCATAAATACTTTTATTGTGTTGAGATATGTCCCCTCTATACACAATTCTGTTTGTTGTGTATGGAAAAACTATTTTAAGTATACAGTATTGGAAAGTCAAACTGTTGTAAATGGAAGATAAAACAATGTGAAATATTGACCATTATTAATAATAATTAATAAATAATAATTGATAAATATTAATCTCTTTAAAAATAAATAAATGACATTAAAGGCAAATGAATAATGTCATATATGTATTTGTTCATATGCATGTTAGTTAACGTACAAAACAACACCAAAGATTTCCTTCAAATCAAAAGAAATATTGTCAATGTGCATCAGTAGTTAATCCAAAATAGCCAATTAAGTTGTAAAACATCCAGCCTCAGTAGTAATCAAAGAAAATTCATCATAGTCATAATGAGCTTTTATTTTTGTTCTTCAAATTGTCAGAGATTAAAATTTTAATATCTAGCTTCTGTAAGAATTAGGGAAAATCAGCATTCTATGTATGGCTGATAAGAATATAAACTTGCTGAACAATTTAGAATAATATAACTTTATTTCTATCCCCGTTTCTATCTATGGTATATATTTAGGGATAAATATGTTCATATTCTTTGACTCAATATTTCTCCTTTTTAGAATAAGCTGTAGGGAATTATCTGAGATGTAAAGAAATAATTATGGAAAAAAGACCACATCATAATATTTGTAAAACATCAATAATTAAAGTCAATCTAAATGTCCAATACCAGCATCATAATTTATAATATTTCTAGACAAAGGAATATCCATTAAAATAACAATTTCAAATGAACTTAAGAATTCCAAACAGGACAAATTGTTCATGTCATTATATTATATAATGATTTTAAGATAGTGTGTTTTATATATACTAAGATGATAATTTTATAAACTTTCTAAAATAAAATTACCAAGAAACTATATCCACACCTTCATGATAATTATTGATGAAAAGATTGTGTGTGGTCTTTCCTTTCTTCTTTTTAGCTTTATGCAGTTGAAAGCAGAGTTTTTCAGACTGGATGAAAGTTTTCTATAAGAAGCTCAAATATCACATTAACTGGTCTCAGTACTTATTTAAAGTTACAGTACTTAAGACAGAGAACCACTATTATAAAAGTATCTTGCGAAACTCATCCTACTGTTGTTAATATTAACAACTTTCCTGCTCTTTGTAATTTCTGGGAAGGATCTCTGACCCTCTGCATAGTTTCCACTCAATTAATTATACTATTTCCTCACTAGTACAAAAGAAAGTGTTTGGTGGACAGATAATGGATCACACTTTGAAAAGTACTTCTTTCTAGAACTAAAAGGTGCCTGTATATCCAATGAATTTCAGGTCATAAAACAGAGAGAAAGCTGTTAGTTGTGCCCAGTTTAGAACTGATTTCTGAACAATGAATAAATGAGCTAAAGAGCAAAATTTTCAATATGGCCTCCAATTGAAGTATGCTTCCCTCCACCCCCACCTTCCTCTGGCATCTAGTTTCAGGAAATAATTGCTGAGAATGCAAATCTCTCTTACACCCCTCCTTGGATGTCTCATAATTCTTTTTATCTATTTTTCTACCAAGTTATTAGAAAATGACAATATTGGAAGTCTTCACCTTTGTGATAGTAGGATCTATGACAGTGCCTGATACATACCAGATACCCTCAAATTATATGCTAAATTAAAAGAACACTCATGTGCCTTTGTATTTGTTGTATACTATTGTGTAACAAATGACACAAAGGTAGCCTGAAACAAAACAGTTCCCACAGGGATCTTGCATAACTTAGATGAGTCTTCTGCTCGGGTTCTCATAAGGCTTAAATCATGATGTTGATTGAGCGTGTCCTTATCTGGAAATTCAACTAGGGAAATATCTACTTCCGAGCTCCCTTAAGTTGTTGAAAAATTCATTTTCTTGCAACTGTATGACTGAGGTTCATATATTCTTGCTGTGAAGGTCTGATCTTGGTTGTTAGAGGCCACTCTCAGGTCTTTGTCACACAAAGCCTTCCATCATCCTTTTTCTTATACTTTGAATCTCCTTGATCTTCTTTCTCTGATCTCTAGACCCTTTTTATAAAGGGATTACCTGATTAAATCAGACTCATCTACACTTGAGGGATAGGGATTATAAAGGGTGCTCACACCAAGGACCAATAATCTCAGGGGCTATTTTAGAATGCTGCCCGCCTCAATCCTTAATAGATGACGTTCTTAGACTATTCACTCCAATGTAGATTGCTAAATTTTACATGGAAGCTTAACAATTGCACACTTTGCTCTCTACCATGTGTAGTCAGAGAAACAACTGATCACAGCAGTATGATCAGTGGATCATTTCCTAAATGAATTTTTTTTTACCCAGGATGTAAATAAACAAGGAATGTCACTCACCGTCTGGTTCTGCAAGGGTTAAGTCATTAGCCGCAGCAGTCACCGGACTACAGAACAGCCCGAAAGGAATTCAGGACAAAGAGCATGCTGTGCTTTGGGAGAAAAGGCAAAATAGGACCTTAGATAACTATATATATTTCAGAGAAAAAATGTTAATCAACTCAGATTCTTGCATCTCCCCATACACACAAAAGCACTAAAATCATTGGCTGCGACAGCTGATCCTCATGAGTAGTAGTAACATTTTACATACAAGATGTGTGCTTCACTACCTGTATCCTGTAGCCAAGATCACATACATACTGACCTCTCCCCTCATGTCTCCAGAGAATTTCCTCAGAGCATTTCCTCTGAAAAGCTGTCTCCAGGGCTAACGTTCTCAGTACGACACTGAGTAAAACTCAACTCACAGCTCTTACCATTGTGTGTGTGCTTTTTTCCCCCAGTCAACAAGTGCTAAACGAAAATCTCAGTCTAGGATTACAGCAATTATCTAGCCACACAGAAAGAAGGGAAGAAAGTGACTGCTAAAGATTCCTTTTACCTTGTGAGATAATTGGTGGAAACTGATGCCTGACGTCTGTCCTTCCCTCTACCTGTGTAGGTGATAGCAAACTAGCTAACTTAGAACGAGTGCTTGCTTTGATCAGGAATGGTGCTAATACATACCTTATGTGATTTCATCGTTAATGAATTTTACGAAATTTGCTATTACTGTGCCATTTTATAAATGATGAAGCCTAAGCTAAGACATACATTCTGATTTTTTGATAAATATCTACTCTTAAAAAATCTCATTTTGTATTGTTTTTATCCATATATAGATGGATTACATTTTGATTTTTTTCACAACTCAAATATGAGGTTATGTGTTAAAGAGATTAAAATAAAGATTATTTTCTTACTCTGTTTGCCCATAAATCCATATTTTAAAAAGGGCTATTTTATAAGCTCTAGCAATGTACAAATGAAGGTGAACTTTGCAAAACAATATAGACATGGTTTTGTTTTCAAAAAGCATATAATATAGTCACTTTGACACAAAAATATTCACAGCATCTGACTACCTTTAAATTCTCAGAGAAAAGTTTAAATCCTAAATCATTTAGACAAGTTAATAACATTTCTTTAAATTGAAACATTAAATTCTGAGTGTATATAATTAACTATACATAAATAATTTCCAAATTAGTTTATAATTTTATTGGTGTACTTGTTAATATAAATGTAGAAAAAGCACTATGCTAATAAATATAATTATACATGTAAAAATCATTTTTCTTAAGATGTAAAATTAGACTAAACAGGCACTTGAGGAAATAATATTTTATTCTACATTTAAGAAATTTTAAAGTAGTTTACCACATAAGATAAAATATATATTTACGTAAAATGAGTGGGAAATAGTTGGTAGTTAATGTGTATATAAAAAATTTACATGAATTAATTCCCACAGCAAGAATAAAAATAGACTAATATATGAACTGAAATCCCATTACAGCTCTTGTCATAAGGAATCATTTATGAAGTTAAATAAGATTTTCATTTTAACATTGCCAGTATACTCTCCTTGAGTATACAGAATATTTTAGCCAAACTTTTATACCTTTAATGAATCTAACATACATGGAAATAGAATCAAAATAGAATCTCAATTCTAGAGATTTCAGTAAAAGTTTACTAAAAGAAATTTCTGAATTGAAATAACAAAAAATTCACTTGGAATATATAAGACATAAACTATATAATCTTGTCATTTAAAGCTGATTAGCTTTGAATACCCAGATCATGGCATTTTCTCCCTATGGAAACATAAATAAACAAATTTTGATCTATTTTATTTTGTTTTCCATGACATCTATATTATTTTTGCAAAGCACGTTAATGGAAAGCAGGCCAATTTTTGCTGATATTTGCTCTTTTGGTAACATTTCATGATTCCAATAACTTAAAAATGTATTTCTTTGATTGTATGAGCTAGTTTCAATTATCCTGAGATATATTTTGGAGCCAATAGATGTGAACTAAGCTTGGCATAGTGTTTAATCCTTTATATAATGCTTGGTCTACATTTGCTATTTATTCATTCAGCAAATATGGTCAATTATGCTACATTATGGAGTATATTGAAAACATAACAAAGACACATTGTCTTTGCCCTTAAAGGACACTGTATACACATAGGAGAGAGACAACATATCCTAATGTGGTCCAAGAAATAATACACATGAAAGTAGGCTGTTCTGGAATCAATTTAATTCGTTACCTAAGTTAGACCAGGACGACAATGATGGTTTGTTGGTAAATGTGTTGACTTTTGGAAGATTAATTTTGAAAAGTTTGACATGGCCTTAACTCTTTTTTAAAAAATAGAAATCAAGAAAGTAAAACTTCCTTATCTTTCTACAGTTAAGTCTTCATAATACAAACTTACACATCATTCTCTCTAGTTACTAAGGAAAAATGCATCTCTGCCCTGATTTAGTGTCAAACTTTACACTTAAGGTCTGGATCCCGTGCTTTATTTCCTCTGCAAAGACTTTGCTCCTTCGATTATATCCTTTTTAAGTTATGAAATCTGAACTGTTCTTGAAGAACTGAGTGTTGCCTGGCCCACTCAGCCACAGAGTTAAAAATGGACAGCAGTTTTCCTCATCAAATGGAAGCAGTATATACAGGACCAGGCTCAAGCCATCCTGAAGGCACAAGTGAGCTGCACAGAGGAGTGACCTAGATGCCTATGACTGCGCTCCTAGGATTTTTGCCTTTTCTCTCCATACTTGCAATTCTAGGCTTGTGCAGAGTTTCTTAGAACCAGCTGAATAAAGAACAAACACAGGCTTGGTTTACAGATGATTCTTTATGATATACATGCACCACTGAAGAGTTGACAGCTAGAGTGCTACAGTGTTGTCTGGGACGACACTGAAGGACAATGATAGAGGGAAATCTTGTCAGTAGGCAGAACTTCAAGCAGTGCACCAGGTTGATCATTTTGCCTGGAAGTGCAGATGATCAGAAATACGTGTCTGCACCAATTCATGAGATGTGATTACTATTTTGACAGGATGGTCAAGGACTTGAAAGAAAGAAATATGGTTGGAAAATTGGTGACAAGAAGGTCTAGTAAAGAAATCTGTGTATAGAACTCTGTGAATTGGCACAGAATGTGAAGATATTTGTGTCCCATGAGAATGCTTACCAAAGGTGACCTTAGCAGTGGAGGATTTTAAGATTAGCACTGAACTCCAAAAATGGCACCATTCCTAAGGGTATCAGCTAGTTAACCATTTGATGGACTGCTTCCATTATACAAATGGAGTGCTTTATTTTTACAGGAAAAAAGATCTTTACTCTGAATACATATTTGCCTTCCTAGACTGCAATGTTTCTGCTAAAATTGTCATCCTGGAAATTATACGATGCCTTATTGTGATATTATGATTTGCAATAAGAAAAATATATTTGGTTTTTCTCCCTGTTTCTGGCACCCTTGACATTTCCTAAGTAATGAAAGCTACAAATGTGTCTTATGCTAGTGACATGACTTTTGGATACCATCTAAGGATGGGAGCTGGTTGTCAGAGGAGTCAACTGTGTTATTGGAGATACAGAATTTTAATCCTATGCACTTGACCCCTGGGAAGAGAGAGGGGTTGGAGTTGGATCTACACCTGTGGCCAATGATTTAATTAATTGTGCTTACAAAAGAAAGCCTCCATAAAAACCCAAAAGGGCTGATTCAGTTTCCAGAATAACAAACATGTGGAAGTCCTGGGAGAGTGATGCACTCAGAGAGGGATACTTTTTCCCAAGCATCTCTTCCACTGGTTGTTCCTGAGTTGTATTATTTTATAGTAAACTGGTAATCTATTAAACTATTTCTCTGAGTACCATGAGCTGCTCTAGCAAATTAATCAAACCCAAAGAGGGAGTCATTGGAACCTCTGACATATAGCAGGTCAGTCAGAAGCTCAGTGATAACCTGGACTTCCAGTCGGTGTCTGAAGTGGGAGGTGGGCAATCCTGCAGCAATGAGTTCTTAGCCTGTGGAATCTAATGCTATCTCCAGGTAGATAGTGTCAGAATTCAGGCGAATTGTTGGGAAACCCGGTGTTTTAGAATTGTTAGTGTGGAATCACCTCCCCCTCCTCTCAACATATTGGAAATTGGGATCAGAACTTTAATGTACCCACTGGCAAGCTAGTCTACAAAGCACTACTGTGGACCTAGAAATTAATTAAACAGCAAATGAAGCAAGTATACCAATAGGCACATGAATAGTGAATCCACTGATCTTACTCTGCCGCCCCCCCCATCCTCTTAAAGCATTGGTTTCACAAAAGGGTGGCATAACCTTTTGAAGACTTACATAGGATGAAAGATAGGTGAGTCTGGGAATCAAGGGATGGAAAATTGAAGGACACCTCTTCATATCACACCTAGGGATCCACAAGCAGAAATTTTGCTTCTTGCCCCAAGATTTTACGCTCTGATGCTCTAAAGAGCTTAGATGCAAATGAAGAAATGTTTCCAACAGGCAAAAAAAAAAAAATAACAATTCCACTGAAATGGAAGTCGAGCCTGCCGCCCACTGTGGGAATATCACGACACTGAACACACAAGACAGGCAGGAATCTGGGATACTTGATCTTATCAAATTAAAATTGAGTTGATACTGCATATTGGAATAAGGTGGGGTATGCTGGAATGTAGATCTTTTAATGTGTGCAATGTTAATCCTGTATTTTAAGATGAATGTCAATAGCAAATAAATATAATTAAGCTAAAGAAGTCTAAACAATTCAGGCAGGACAGCTAATGACCCAGAACTTTCAGTAATAAATGTTTGGGTCACATTACTAGGCAGAGAACCACAGACAACTGAGTTTCTTGCTGAGGGCGAAGGGATTATGGAATAAGTACTTGGAAAAGGTATTTATGAAACTATCTATGACCATGTGCCCAAGTTTCAGAATTAAGAACTATAATAATTATGATTATGTAGTCTTTATTTTGATATGATTATATTTGTATATATCAAACTTTTCCATTTATTCTCCCACTTTCTTCTTATCTGATGTAAGATGTATTAATGTATTAATCAGGATTTCAATCACAGGGTATCAAAGAGGGAATACGAATCAACTGAAAGAAGAGTTAACATCACCTAAAGATAAAAGAGGGAAGTTTTGCATCCTTCTGGGGAACTAGCTAGGACGCTTTGCCTTTTCACACTGGAATTAACTAATTTTATATTCCCTGCTGTTGATAACACTATCTTTTTAGCTCTATTATAGTACTTCTTACATTATGCTTTAGAATTTCTTATGCATCTATCTGTTTCCTCAATACTTTTCATGTCCTGGAATTGCAGGAACACTGTCTTATTTATCCTTGTTCCCCTCACAATGCCTGGCATAATTCCATATAGAGTAGGTGCTCAATTAAAATTTATTGTATTGAAATATTTAACATTTAAAATGTCAACATCTGTATACATCATTAACTTAAATT